TAACTGACATTGTATTCAATTCCATATGTTTTACGACATTATATGGCACTCAAACATTCAGTTTACGTTATTTCAAATTGATCTGAAATAATTATTCACAAGTGACGTCATAACTCTATAATCTATTCATTCATATCACATCACGAGATTCCAGCTCTAATTATTACATGTAATATTCTGTTTTCACGTCTCTATATTCTTGATTTTAGTACGTGGTATTCAAATAATCCCAGATTGACCTCACTGCATTGCGTCACAGCACTGAATTAAAATCCCAAGTTGACGTCACTACATAATGGTGATGCTTAAACCCCATGTCGATACACTGTATCCACGTCGACACACTGTATCCATGTCGACACACTGTATCCATGTCGACCCACTGTGTCCATGTCGACCCACTGTATCCATGTCGACACACTGTATCCACATCCCTGAATGACGCCGTCACACAATATGACCGAGATGGATGTCATTACAAGGTATCATTAACCTTGATCGACGTTTCATTCAAATATTTCAGTCACAACTGACGACTTATCATGGAACTGAAAATAACAGGTCGATAGCACTTCATAAGATATAAATCCCCGTTTGACGTCGCAACACCGTATTTAAATCCCACGCAGATGTCATGTGATTGTCGTTATGATCGGCTTGATGTTCACATATAGCAAGTATTCCCTTCTCAAATCGAAATCGTAATCCGGTATCCCATTACGAACTGGGCATCATTAACTGGTGTCCAATTACGAACTGGGCATCTTTAACTGGTGTCCAATTACGAACTGGGCATCTTTAACTGGTATCCAATTACGAACTGAGCATCATTAACTGGTATCCAAATACGAACTGAGCATCTTTAACTGGTATCCAATTACGAACTGGGCATCTTTAACTGGTATCCAATTACGAACTGGGCATCTTTAACTGGTAGCCAATTACGAACTGAGCATCATTAACTGGAATCCAATTACGAACTGGGCATCTTTAACTGGTATCCAATCACGAACTGGGCATCTTTAACTGGTAGCCAATTACGAACTGAGCATCATTAACTGGAATCCAATTACGAACTGGGCATCTTTAACTGGTATCCAATTACGAACTGAGCATCTTTAACTGGTATCCAATTACGAACTCGGCATCTTTAACTGGTATCCAAATACGAACTGGGCAACATTTATTGGTATCCCATTACGAACTGAGCATCTTTAACTGGAATCCAATGACGAACTGGGTATCTTTAACTGGTATCCAATTACGAACTGGGCAACATTACCTAGTATCCAATTACGAACTGGGCAACATTACCTGGTATCCAATTACGAACTGGACAACATTACCTGGTATCTAATGAACAGATCGAAATGATATACCGGGTGCCCGTGTTGCTTTATCAGAAAACGTTATAGGTTTGATGTTACACATTGAATATTTGTTTATATTCACGATGATTTAATCATATTCAAATGATGAACAAATAGATGGGTATCGACATATACGGTTTACAATATAAAGGGAGATAAATCTTGTGTAAAACTATAAGTTCAGTTCATTGGTATCTCTCATATATCCTTAACTTCAATTCGATCATATTATCATTTTTCAATTGTTGTTTTTTGTATGTAATGTTTAAATTTCTGTATAGAATGTTTGTATTTCTGTGTAGAATGTTTGTATTTCTGTATAGAATGTTTGTGTTCTGTATAGAATGTTTGTATTTCTGTATAGAATGTTTGTATTTCTGTGTAGAATGTTTGTATTTCTGTGTAGAATGTTTGTATTTCTGTATAGAATGTTTGTATTTCTGTGTAGAATGTTTGTATTTCTGTATAGAATATTTGTATTTTTGTGTAGAATGTTTGTATTTCTGTGTAGAATGTTTGTATTTCTGTGTAGAATGTTTGTATTTCTGTATAGAATGTTTGTATTTCTGTGTAGAATGTTTGTATTTCTGTACAGAATGTTTGTATTTCTGTGTAGAATGTTTGTGTATCTGTATAGAATGTTTGTATTTCTGTATAGAATGTTTGTATTTCTGTACAGAATGTTTGTATTTCTGTGTAGAATGTTTGTATTTCTGTATAGAATGTTTGTATTTCTGTGTAGAATGTTTGTATTTCTGTGTAGAATGTTTGTGTATCTGTATAGAATGTTTGTATTTCTGTATAGAATGTTTGTATTTCTGTGTAGAATGTTTGTATTTCTGTGTAGAATGTTTGTATGTCTGTATAGAATGTTTGTATTTCTGTGTAGAATGTTTGTATTTCTGTGTAGAATGTTTGTATTTCTGTGTAGAATGTTTGTATTTCTATGTAGAATGTTTGTATTTCTGTGTAGAATGTTTGTATTTCTGTGTAGAATGTTTGTATTTCTGTGTAGAATGTTTGTATTTCTGTGTAGAATGTTTGTATTTCTGTGTAGAATGTTTGTATTTCTGTATAGAATGTTTGTATTTCTGTGTAGAATGTTTGTATGTCTGTATAGAATGTTTGTATTTCTGTGTAGAATGTTTGTATTTCTGTGTAGAATGTTTGTATTTCTGTGTAGAATGTTTGTATTTCTATGTAGAATGTTTGTATTTCTGTGTAGAATGTTTGTATTTCTGTGTAGAATGTTTGTATTTCTGTGTAGAATGTTTGTATTTCTGTATAGAATGTTTGTATTTCTGTATAGAATATTTGTATTTCTGTATAGAATGTTTGTATTTCTGTATAGAATGTTTGTATTTCTGTATAGAATGTTTGTATTTCTGTATAGAATATTTGTATTTCTGTATAGAATTTTTGTATTTCTGTATAGAATGTTTGTATTTCTGTGTAGAATGTTTGTATTTCTGTATAGAATGTTTGTATGGCTGTATAGAATATTTGTATTTCTGTGTAGAATTTTTGTATTTCTGTATAGAATATTTGTATTTCTGTATAGAATGTTTGTATTTCTGTATAGAATATTTGTATTTCTGTGTAGAATGTTTAAATTTCTGTATAGAATGTTTGTATGGCTGTATAGAATATTTGTATTTCTGTGTAGAATTTTTGTATTTCTGTATAGAATGTTTGTATTTCTGTGTAGAATGTTTGTATTTCTGTGTAGAATAATTGTAATTCTGTATAAAATGTTTGTATTTCATTATAGAATGATGGTATTTCTGTTTATAATGTTTGTATTTCTATTTATAATGTTTGTATTTCTGTTTATAATGTTTGTATTTCTGTTTATAATGTTTGTATTTCTGTGTAGAATGTTTGTATTTCTGTACAGAATGTTTGTATTTCTGTGTAGAATGTTTGTATTTCTGTATAGAATTTTTGTATTTCTGTTTATAATGTTTGTATTTCTGTTTATAATGTTTGTATTACTGATTGAAAATAATTTTTGTGTATGTATATATTTTTGTGTGTTATCCCGTTCGTTAATAGGATACACTATATTTCAATGTTCGAAAACATTGTGATATAATCGTGTCTAGGTAATTTCTTTTGAAATTTTTAATAATAACTTACAACTTACCGCGTTTGGCAGCTTTACACTTAACTTTATGATACGTATGATGATATAATTTTCCCTTTCTAGGAAGTCGCTTTCCTGATTCCCTAACTATTGTGTTTACATATTGCAGATGACTGAATATTCAAGAACTTGTTCTGTTATCTGTTCGATATAACAGATTTTCGAAAGATTCAAACTGGTCAAGAAATGTACTTAATTCATTGACCGATATGAAGGTTGGTGTGCTCGACACTTCATACCTGGTGGTTTCATTGTTAACTTAGTTCTCCTTTCGAGAGCGTTACATTACCATGGACTGGTTAGGAATAACAGGAAACAGAACATGATCCCTCCTAAACTTTCAATGATTGCTGTGATTGTGATTTTGAGTAAAGTTTTTGTTATCTCAGTGTCAGAAAAGTCCACATTTCACTTCATATTTACACCAATCTATATGTACTAATTACAGTTGTATAATTTTTTTTGTAATAAACGATGTAAACAATAATTTTATTTATCCATAAAGCGTTTTATTTTTTCTATGTTTTTCACTGACGAGTTTTTCATACTTTCTTATCGAGATATTGATATGGCGTTTATATTTTATGAATTCAGTGTTGTATTAAATCCTCCATCCATCTTACTTTTCGGAAGAAAACACGAGACGTTTGTGAAACTTAGTCATGGCAACCCCTTACTAACATATATAGTGCATAAAGTTTATAAAAGTGATAAAAAAATTTCTTCTAATTTTGATATATATTTTACTTCGTAAACAAATGTAAGTTGTAATTAAAATCAATGAAATATATTCACAAAATGTCCGTCCGCCAAATGTTCCGGACTGTTTCATAGTTGAAAGTAAGGACTCAATATCAAATGCGCAGTAGAATTCAAATATCTATTTAACAAATGCCAAGTACGAATGTACTGTTTTGACAGACATTGAAAAACGTAATTTCATTACTTACAAGATTAAATCATTTTTATATTCTTTATGTCTTAAATATTTCGGGAGGGCGTGGTTAGAAGACGTGTTTGTGTGATACTTACTTCCTTGTGTAACCGCTTCAACTTCCTCAAATAGAGGGAGATGTATTGTTGTACCTCCGACATTTCGGACAAATGGACAGTGGTCAACGTAAATCCCTAGACACACCATCTAGTCACAAGGTAAAACTTAATATCCGATCTAGATATCCCGACGTAGGTAAGAACACTGTCGGTGCTAGCCCAGTCTGGGTTTGAATGTAGAAACGTATGGTCAATTACAGAGAGTATAGACAAGGAAGCAAAGAGTTGGGGCCAGCTGATCCTAATTCCATCGGGAAATAGCAGTAACTTAACTTAAATAGACTCGATATTACCAATTGTTAAGATGTTAAAATAAAATGCACATCAAGGCGAACGAATATCTCGTTAGCTGGTGCACGGGCATTCGGCATTCCTAACGCACGTGCAGAATAAAGGAATCAAAGTATCGCGGATCGAGAACGATAGCTTACCTTTCCTCTGGAGGCTCTCCTGGTCCTATCAAACGCTTCCCATGTTATAGAGCCCGTCCTGGAATTCGGAACAGTGATTGAGACACGTCTCGGATTTTCCGCAGGTTTTCCAGCATCTGGTACCACTATAGAAACCCGTCTACTCGACTCCATTATTGCACATAAAATGTCAAAAGTGACGTATTTAAAGTTGATTTTTTTTCATTATACTTCGTCTAAGTTTATGGCTAAATAGAGTGGCCAGACCAGTGGTCAGTTTAACCATCAACTGCAAACTGGAGAACACACTCTTGGCCAGACATGATTGTACGTCTGGTGTGATATTACACCAGCCAGTCACTCATCATACTTATCATCGCTGTTATCACATCTGAATCAAAGGAGCGATTAATGAGCCGCGAGGGGGCGCCACATATTACCTATATCAATGGACAGTAGTGGTCAGCCGATTTCCTATATCTGTCTGGATACTAGTGAAACAATACATCCTTATAATACACGGTAGGTCACAAACGCGTGTTGGTCAGATACCATCTTACAGCTGACCACTTGACCAACAGATATCTGCAACATGGGTTGGTGGTTGTATTGTTTTATGTCTTTACTGACCACCCCGACGTCAGACACGTGACTTTTCAGTTGTTGAGAATGCGCTATCTTCTGAAGCAAAGCATTGCTATTTACGTACGTACACCATCATCCTATAGCATGATTGTCGCCATAGAATGGGTTAAGAAATTTCACAGAACAATTTCAGTTTGCAGCAAACTTTCTGATTTTGGAATGGTAAAACAATCCTTTTAAGAACCTTTTCATCCAAGGCATTGGGTAACGTCCTCAAATTTTCTTGAATAGTATACTGTCATCATGGAATGTTCACACTCTCTATGGCCCCTAAACTGACAACAAATTCCTTATATCCTATCCATTTCGTAACCTGACATTTACCGACCCACAAAACAAATAGACCTCCAGGTTATAACCTTGATAATGAAGATCTGCACGAGAAGTTCCTATTCATAAACGATATTCTTGTATCGCTCTCACGTGCATTGCGAAGAGATATACAACATTCCAGGTTCATGTTCATAGCACCTTTGCTCTGTGTCAACAGTGTAACTCCAAGACCTGATAGACCTGCACGCAGCCAACATGTTAGTGTCACTTGGCAGCAAGTCTTACAAGTGTCCGAAATGGGGGCGGACTATTTTATCTTTGTATTGTCAAACACTATAGGTAATTACACACTATATCGTTCTATCACACGTCGGAACAAAGTCTCTTAGTTTCTGACAAATTGAACTTGTCAAGAACACATCTAAACAATAACTTCAAGATGTACACAGTTTTTTTCCGATAAATGAAACTATTTAGATATGTATTGCTTGCCCCGATCTGTGGGAAGTCAAACGAACGCGCCCTCCAAAGTGAATTCTAACACGTCGACCTGGCGGTCATAACAAAAGAATTCCGGCTTTGTTTGAGTAATCTGGACATAATACACTACACATCAGGTTTAATGACGAGCGCTCAGGATCAAATACACGTGCCAATGGGCATGTATGTAAAACCTCACGTGTAACATGAGGGTTCATGGATGGTAAATACTGCCGATTGCCGTTCATCGTTTGTTCTAGATTTTACCAATTTTTCATAAGAACCAGGAACCTTTTCCAATGTAATACAAGTCTACTAGATATCTGTAATTTTCTCTCTGTCGAAGTTTTATTGCTTTTCCGATTTATACGCTTGTTACAAGTGCAACGTCAGATGAAAAGGAGGGAATGTATCAATAACATTCATATTGATAGACGCAAACACAAGGGCATACATACTGTGTCGGAAAAAGCACCGCGATAACCAAGTTATCTCTCTTACAGCCCTAATTTATATTTTAACAGGGGCTGACAAGCTACCTTCCATAGAATGGATTTCATGTCAAATTGACAAGTCAGTTATCAAAGATGGAGCAAATTTTGGGTAATTTCTTGAAAATTGGAGAACGAAAAGTTCCATTATGCCGTCAACCTTCCTGACATACATTGTATGTGTTCCAGAACAGCCCAGCTAGCGAGAGGAATGTACCTTTTAGTGTTGTAGCAATAATGATATCGGTAAATTTCTTTTGATGTGACATGCAGCAACTAAAAGAGTTTTCTATGTGTTGTTGTGGTGGTACTTAATTATTTACCGCAATCATTGGAAGTTTTTTCAGTTACATCTACATCAAACCATATGGTCTAGATCTTATGTAACATATATCACGTAATAAAAGCATAATCAGCGATATGCCATTATATCATGGGATGATTCAAGTGATAATTGATATGAAGTTTGATCGGTCATCTCTCAAACCATCCATTCCCTAATTAATTAAATCAGCATGTCATTCATTTTATTGTATATATACGCCCCTCTTTAAAATAACTGATGACACCGCAACTCTTTACCGCAACTGACGGTGTCTCCCCTCTTCAATACAACTGATAGCATATTCCCTCTTTACAACAACTGACGGTGTCTACCCTCTTTTCAACAACTGACGGTGTCTACCCTCTTTACTACAACTGACGGTGTCTCCCCTCTTTACAACAACTGATGGTGTCTCCCCTCTTTACTACAACTGACGGTCTCTCCCCTCTTTACTAAAAATGATAATATCGCCCCTCTTTACTTCAACTGGTTATATCTTCCCCCTTTCTTTATTACAATTAATGATATCTCCCTTCTTTACTAAACCTGATGGTATCTACCCATCATAACTGTTTTAACGACTACTGACGACATCACTTTTTTAATTGCTACTGAGGACATCACTGTTTTAACTACCACTGAGGACATCACTGTTTTAACTACTACTGAGGACATCACCTTTTTAAATAACTACTGAGGACGTCACTGTTTTAACTACTACTGAGGACATCACTGTTTTAATTATTACTGAGGACATCACTGTTTTAACTACTACTGAGGACATCACTGTTTTAACTACTACTGAGGACATTACTGTTTTAACTACTACTGACGATATTATTGATCTTCATAATGGATGAAATATGTCATTCACCAGTTTGCATATATAAATATAATCAATGACGTAAAAGCAACTGTAAGGAGAAGCGAATTGTCAAATTTTCGAGGCAACCTGGCCCCGTTGATCAAGACACAATTATTACATAAATTACATTACATACATAGAACATAAAACAAATAAAAATTTATAAATCTAAATCGAGAGCGGTTGTGTAAATTTAGGCGTCTCGATAATCCCTTCGGCCGATGGACGCCGAAGGCCCTTTACAACGGACAAAAAAAAACATCCCAAGTTGTTGTATGTAAGATGGTGATTACAATATCAAAAATGTTTTACAAAAATCTATGTATGTTTTGCACTCTAGACATTGAGCGTATATGTATATATATATACTCCAAGGAAAGTAGTCTACTGGTACATCTCGGCCACTAAATATTGTTTTATTCTCGTTTTTCTTTAAAGATTTTTTTGTACCATTAAGAAAGTCATCTTGAACAAGTTTGTTATAAATATTCTTAAAGACATCTTTTGGATTAGCGATCAAAGGCAGTTTCGTCTGTTGTCTAGGATTGCAGTCACTTACATACGTGAAGTCATCTTTGTATACATACAGTATTTGTTGTAAAACTTTGAAATCGTGTAATGACCCATGAAATACCTCAATCTCACCTTCTCAATAATTTTCCTTATAGGTTTTTGTAATTTATGTAATTAACACGTATTGATATTCGTTTGTGTAGTGCAACCTTTATGTTGATGTAGCAGAATATCGCTTTATCAACTCCGAGGATCACAAAGTAGTTTTACATAAACTTTTGTACTATTTAATACTTGTGTTATATTGGGTAGTTTTGGACATAAACTTTTGTGCTATCTAATACTTGTATAATATTGAGTAGTTTTGGGCATATACTTTTGTAACGTATTATATAGAGTATAAATTTTCACTTATCTGCTGGGAGGATTTCATCTGACTTTGGTTTACAAAATGAATTTCAAAAACATGTTTAAAGTTTACTTTTATTTCTTACATTATAGAACAACATTTTGAGCGTTTGACGCAATTTCACAAGGAAATAATAGCGTGCATCGTTTTACCACTGAGCCAGACGGCGAATCTATCAATGGTTGATGTAGCTGGTTACAAAAAACTACTACGGCACACGTTTGATGTGCAATACATGTGTTATAGACGTGTGTTGTTTGTGAAAGACAAACGTTTACAAATGTTTTTTTACAAAACGAAATATTTTTCATCACATGAAAAAAAAACAGCTTCATCCGTCGTCACGTGCTCCTCGTCAGTGTATATCAGACGGTAATTTAGAACTTATTATCAAGTCTTCCTGAAACTTTCGCGTGTGTCAAACAAGCGCACACAGGAATTTACCGTTAGGTTAACGTTTAATGATTGAAATTATACAAGCATTACAGGGATTGTACTTTTTAAATAAAATATACATAACGCTTATAACGAGTATCATTTTCATGAAGACAGATAAATTGTTTAACGAGCAGGAAGATATGTTATTGAACATCATAAAGACCTGTCAGAGATGTTACACACGTCCAGTGCGCGAGGATTCCGAGGAGAGGATAGCAAGGGTGTTGTACAGCCAATAAGCGTGGATGTGAATATACAGTATACATACTACATCTTTGTGTAATTAAACACCCTGCTTGTACTTTATAACATTAAATCATATATTTTCACGAATAAGTTACACTGCACAATGCACGTGGCAGTGTAGGGTGGACTTAAAGAAGAACGAACCACTGAGAGAAATCCGAAATGAAGTGCTCACACAATCTGGAGCATTATCTAGACAGGTCGAGTTAAATATTGACCAATGGCGAGAAAAAAAGTTGGCAAACGATCTTAATTTTCGTACCTTTTGAAAAATAACCAACTCGAGTTAAATAATCATCAAATACAACAACCACTCGTTGTATAGAATCTATCTATTGCACGTGACGTGTCAGTATTCAACAGTGACGTCATAAAGGACGATACGTGAACTTTAATTTCAAGCGTTCAGGTGTTACTGGCAGTGAGATCCATAAGTTTTTTTTTCTACTCGGAAAGACTCGATTTTTTTACACAGGATATCAAAAGAAA